TGTCAACTTGCTCATCTTTAAATCTGTTGTGATACAGTGATCTTGATGCATGCCTCAATTCACAATAAAATGCTCTACCAGTGACAAAGACCCAGATGTGTATGAGGTACACAGGAAACCAAAGATACTGGATACTGGGTTTATTTCAACACATAAACATCTGGAGTCTTAAAGCCTCTGACTCATTTTGATTTTTCTGTCTAAAAGAGAAGAGACATCATGGGCAAACAACAGCAATGTATCAAAGTGCATAGGAGTTTGAGTTAGATTGTAAGATATCCATATGAATTCTGCTAAACAAGACAAATGAGCCAAAATAATTTTGTCAGTTTTCCATCGTCATCATTCCATGAACAAATTGTCTACCTTAATGAGCTAAAATGTGAAATATCCCTTGAAGTGACCTTCAACAAGACTTGAGCCCTTCACAACTATCTGACAAAGCCAGCTGCCAGATTTTAGGCCTCAGCAATTTGACTGGAAACTATTAAGTTTTTCCTGTATATGGAGCCAACAACTGTACTTACATTCTGCTTAGATAACCTGGAGTCTGGGTAGTGTTACTGGCCTTAAATAATAACAAATAGAATAAGTAAGAACTTTTCATTTGATCAACATGTGTTCAAAAGTAGTTGAAGTTCTCCTATGAACTTCAGATGAAGCTTCAGATAAAAAAAATGTCCGTTAACAGATACAGAGGAAATATGGTTCCTTTTTGAAAGGTGTTGATTATAATAGTGATAATGACGATGACAACAATGATGAATTAATGTTATTTGTCTCATCCCATTGTCAAACAGTGAATTGAACCCTGATCTCCAGAGTCCTAGTCTATGCTCATACCACTATACCACATTGGCTTGTAAGTATAGTATATAATATTGTAAGTAGAAGGGTACAGTCACCCCTCCATTTTTCATGGACTTGGTGTCCGCATCCCTTACCCATTTGTGGGTGGCAAAGAGGTGGACAAAATTGGGCCATTCAAGCCAATAGGGCTTGTATATTTGTGATTTTCCATTTTTGCAGGGTGGTGGTGGTTCTGGAACAGATCCCTCACAAAAATGGAGGAGTGGCTGTAGTTTATTCTGTCCAGTGATGTATGATCCCAGGTGATGGAGGGTTCCATCCCTTCTAATTTTTG